ATGCCAGTTACAACTTCGCAGCATACGTCCAGATGGAGACACGGGCACGATTACACGCAGACTTCGGCGCCTCTCCTTCAGATCAGAACGCAAGGCCAGGCAAGAACAATCGATCCCAGGCCATCCTCGGCCTGTCTAATGATATCATTCGAGAACTGAAATCAAGCTACAGAGGGTGTGGTAATTAAGGTGTGGTAATTAAGCTGCCAAGATGCCACATAAACGACTCGTTTCTCGAATAACAATAGATTATGGTTACTGATACGTGACTTCCATGAAACATTCAGGATGGAGGGTTGGTATCGCTGCTGTGCCGCTTTGGAGCAGAGTGTCCAACTAAAAACCTGTCAAAGTCCTTGCGCATCATCCCACCACCTGGCGGACACACTATCGTAGACGTCAATATCAACGCAAGTCATCATTTCAAAGAGCAAACCTGTTCGCTCCATAACCCGCAATTTGCCCTGCAAGTCCGGCAACCGAATCAGTATCTGATCCAACAGATCGTCGTTCTTCGGCGGATACCCACAACAAACATTGGGCGGCGCACACAAGCCATGTGCCACATGCTTGCGGTGCGCGATGACCGTTACACTGTCGAGTTGCTCAGCATGGGCAGCAATGTGCTCCCCCATCGCGACAAGGTTTATAGTGCTTTCTAGGCGTTCTTCGTGCTCGATCTGGCTGCATCCAATCTCGAGCGTCAGAGAGCGCAAACTGGGTGGTATAGGGACTTCGCGTATCCACGGGTCGGCGAATGAGGTGACGAAGAAGTAGAGGCTTCGGACGTTGGGGGTCTCTGTAAAGTCGAGAGGAAAGACGCCTTCGCTATCTGGTACCGTAGCTTAGTTATGCGATGGTGAAAAACAAAATACGCACTATCGTTCCAGTACATAGAGCGAACATCAATTCGAAATTGTTGGAGAGAACCACCGACTACGTGGAACAGGCGTTTGAGGTAGGTCAAATTGATATCAGGCATGTCGGTGATGACTCCGAGCGTGAATTGTTCAAGGGAAGATAGGTCAAAGGGTACGCGCCGCTGAGTGAATGGTTCCAGGGCAAGAGATTCGTGTCCATGAATATGAAGCGACTTGAGCTTGGGCGGCATTAGATTCGGACGACGAGGATTACGGCCCCAATCAAATGGAGCATTTTGGAACCACCCAAAGTTCTCTAGGCTCTGACACTGATGCAGGAGGTGATTCAACTCCGTCGAATCGGTGAAGAGAGTCGCGCACAGGTCTAAAGACACGATGGTTGATAATGAAAAGAGTTCCAAGAAGCACTTGCGAGAGAAGGGTTGATGGTCCTGGGGGATACTTTGTGGCGGGTAGAGTACAGCGGCCTCTTCGATGTGAGTGAGTTCGCAGAAGATGAGACCCAACGCCATAGGATCCGCAGTTACAAGGAGACTATCATCGAGCGCAACGCTCTTGACGTAACGGATGAGATGTGGACATTCTTTGAGCAGATCATGTAATTCCGGGGCGCTGTACAGCCTTCCATACCGCGGTCGTGCATGCCGATGGGCACGGGTTTTACGATCTTGGACGAGAGACACGTTGTGGAAGAGATGCAGCCTAGAAACAGGTAGAAATGAGGCGCACACTAGGGCACAGGCCTTGAGTGTATCGACGTCATTGAAATTGTAGTCAATAATGCGCTCCCATATTTCTTGAGGGAACCAGTTGTCGACGAACCAGTTTTCTGACAGAAACGTTAAAAAAGGATATGGTTTGCTGCCTAGCTTACTCGAATTAGAGCTCATTGTGGCTCGAACGCGCCTGGCGTTAGAGGATGATGGTGGTCGGTAGCGAAGCCTAATCGAGGCACGTGGTTCATTTAGCGCTTGTCTTCTGACCATCATCATGAAAGTACGCACCCAACACATTCCGTGTACCTTTGCACACCAGACGCGTCTCAAAATCATCATCGGTGGGTAGATACTTACGATGGTCTTTCTTTTCCAACATCGCTGAACAGGTACAGGTCCATTTAGTAGTCTGAATCGATGACTATCCTTAGGCGACGCTATCCTTCTATCCCAGTGTAAATGCGGTCCAATAGGTTTCCGGGACGAGAAGAGAATGCCAGGTTGGCATTTCGCTTTGTGATGCTACCACTGCTGACAGGAGCTGATCATAATGGACCCGGACGTCGAAAATACCAGAAGCGTTTCCAGACAACGAGTATGTGACGCGGCTGGGCATAAATCTCCCTTCCGTGATCTTGCTTTACGCTACTTCGCGCCACACTACAAAATCAGCCAGTGCCATGTTACCTTTTCTACGTAGGCCAGTCCTTTGCTATCCGAGTCCGTCCTCGGTGACAAAATTACAGATGATAATGGACCAGGTCGTGCTTAATCAACCAGCTGCCTCAAACGATACGCACCATGTAAGGCGCTGATGCGCGCTATTCTCGTCATATTGCGGACTGGTACCACCTTACCTTCTCCCCTGCACACACTTTTTGGAACTCAAAGAGCTTCAAACGTGTGCGCCAATTCTTGTTTTTCTTGTTTATCGCATATTGAAATTCTCGCTGGTCTTTTGCCATTGCTTTCTTCCTCGCAAAGTCAGATATGAAATATGTGCGTTTCATTCCCCGACGTCAACCGCATGTTCTTTCATCTAACCTCTGACGCCCTCAGAAATTCCCGGTCAATTTGGCACAAAGACTCGATCCCGCCTCGTCGTACCCATGAGGCATCGGCGCAGTCGCTGCGTGACACTCCCACAGGTCAATGCGCGCCGTGACAACCTACACGTGATGGTGACGGTCTTTGCTGTGGACAAATGCCCCGGGTCTCTTTGTTCATTGTCTCAATGCCTATATACGGCCGGCCCATGCGACCACTTCTTGGTTGTAACCGTCGCCATCCCACAACACTTATAATCAGCTATCAGCCTCCCTCACACCATTTCCGCCTTTCCTACAGTCGCCGCTATCACAAAGAAGACCACGAGGCATGCCTATTTACGCGCAGACCCCGATGTTGGCCAAGGTGCAATTCGGACATAACGTCGTGTTCACGATATCGGATGGTGATGCTCGCAGTCCCATCTTCCTGCCGCGCCACCGAACCTGTAATCCTCCTTCGCCAATCTTGAAGCGGATGCGCAAAGGGGAAGATACTGGTACGTCGCCCTCCTCACCAGGTCGCATCATTACTGATTATCATGTGGTAACAGGGTACTCTCGATTCCACGCATATCCCCGTCCACGAGCCAATATCTACAACTTGAAGCCTTGGTCGGAGACTCACCATCGGCGTGGGTCGGACGCCGCGGATACCAAGCCGCCTAGGAGGCGATGCGAAAACCAACAGACGAAGGTTGTCGATGCTGAACAGAATTCGCCGAGCCAGCCCTCAGTGCAGATGGAGACGGGATGCAGCGTTGATGCCGACATAGACATTTTGGTCATCCCCCCGAGCCCGATTGAACCACCGACTAGAACTTCCTCTCCACCACCTCCATCTGCCCGGCGGCGGAAAAGGGCATCACTCGATGTCCTCCAGTCACTCCCGGAGACAGTGGCCACGACACCAATTACGCCCTCACCCAAAGTCAGGCGGATCAAGTCTCATCACCGCCGTGACTCCTTCGACCTACAGAGTCTCGCCGTTGCTCTCCCCCCATCACCCAGTTATCGTCTCCATCTCGATCTCTCCACGACGCGTCCGCTATCCTGGTGCCTCTTCGACGTCCCATCAACGCGGAGCGTCGAGCCCAATGCACAACTCGACTTGACAGCCTGTCCCGGTGCAGCGTCGCTCACCGTGCACACGCACCCATTCTTTCCGCCCGTAATCGTCCCGGGGACTGCTACTATACAAGACGTCCTGTACGCCATCTACGTTTCGCTGCACGAGGACCTCGGCGAGGTCAGCGAGAAGGAGGCAGCGCTGGGCATGCGGGACAGGGATTATGTTGTCGCGGCGAAGCTCAAGCGACACCAGCTTAGAGGATGTGTGGAGGAGGATGAGATTCGGCTGGATTTGATGGATGGGTTCGTGATGTTTCAGGGGCTGGAGGTCATCAAGTGCGAGGGAGAGGGTGCGAATGTTGAATGTCAATTGCACTTGAGAAGAGAGAGGAGTTGGGAACAGTGGCCATGATGATGTACTTCGTCCTGCTTTTGTTATACGTCTGTGCTACTTTATATTCCCTCTGTCGTTCTTATCTAATGCGCAAAGTTGATATTTATCCATACTGTATTTGGGGTGACATGACATCACCATGGTTTTCGCGTGGCCAGTGGGGTCGATTCATTTACCCCAAAAATGATTCAACGAGGTCGTATAACCTCATAAGTATACTATAGGCTCACGATACTTAAGAATGGCAGACAGCGACTCTGTTGGCTCAACCATCAAGTTCCGCACCCGCGTGTGCCCAGTCACACGCTGCAGAAGAGTGAGAACCTGGAGGAGATCTGGGAAGGGTACGCAGACGGGAACCTCTGGTTCAGCGGGTAATGATTCCATAGCGCAACATACCATGTACTATTATGTTCATCGACGCCGCCGCCCACTTATCGATAACTCGACTGTTTTGATCTCGGCTACTTGTACAATGTCTTCTAAAAGTTAAGATAAAAGAGAGTACACCCTACAGGGTGCCATTACAAATGTAGTCTTTGTGTGGGTAATGAATGCCCCATGAAGACTAAGGTGTAAACTGAGTTGTAAAGGCTAGTAAAGTATCACAGTTTGTTATGATATCAAAGCCCTTGGGGGTGGGTACAGAGGTAGGATTCAATACCAGCACATGACTGCTACGCTAGCACTGAAAGAAGCTGAAAGTGGGGGACAAAGGCGGCTCAGCGCTGCGCCACATGACATATCCAGAGCATCTGCCAGTATCGAAACCGAACACCGCCGGGAGATTTAATGCGCCACGCTACTAGGGGTCGGCCTAACCTAATACCTACTGCCTCCTTGCTCCCAAAACTCACACCACAAAAATGTCATATCTCTAAAGGCGGCAAAGTGGACACATTGGGAATTGAACCCAACACCTCCCGCATCAGATATTCATGCTAAGCGGGCGTGATAAACCAACTACACCATGTGCCCATATGATTCATTACTCTCCTTGGCATTTCTATACATGCCTTGGGTGCCATTTTCACGCTGAACTACGACAAAAGCTCATTTTACATGTCTACGACCTCTTCGCCTAGAAGTCGACACCTCTCATGCTTTCTTCAACAATAAACCCTCGATGCCCTCCCTACCCTCTACCCGCATCCCCACCCACTCCTCCATCCGCGTAGCCTTCAACGCCGACTCGTAAAATCCAATAGACGGCGTGTTCCACTTCAACACACTCCAATCGATCCTCCCGCAGTCGCTATCCAGCGCGACCTCTGCCAGCGCCGCGAACAGCGCGCGCCCGACGCCGAGATTGCGCTGCGCAGGCGTCACGTACAGGTCCTCCAGGTAGATACCCTTCTTCCCCACCCAAGTCGAGAAATTGAAAAAGTACAGCGCGAAGCCGATGGGTGTTTTGCCCGTGGCGCTTTGCGGTGTCTGGTCATCTGAGGAGCTCGAGGCGAGCTCGGCGATGATGGCCCAGGCGACGTGACCCCCGATTCCGACGCCGGATTCGGAAAATAGAGCTTCCTGCATCTGGGCATGAGTCGCTTGGGCTTTGTCTTCTTCTTTCTCGTAGATGGCGAGTTCTTTGATGAAATGGAGGATGGCAGGGATGTCGCCTGGCTGGGCGGGACGCGTCGTGAAGGCAGCAGACATAGTTTTGGAGATTTGACCAGATGATGGAGATGCTTATATACAGCAGATTCGAGTCACAAATTGAAGTGTGTAGTAAGAATGCAAAGTCCTCGGGATGATCGGATATTCGGTGACATATGGAGGCGTTTCCCATCAGGTGATGGTCGCGCGTGCGTCAGCCAAATCGTCGTCGAACGACGAATGTAAAGAATCGCGGTCTCATAGTTGGCAGAAAGCGCCGTAGACTTTCAAGAGCGACTTTAATGTCTCAATAGAGACGCTTAGGGCATGAGTCCATTTTGCAATTTAGGACAACAAGGAGTAAGTACGCGATGTGAGGCATCCTTTGCCGCCAGGCTGCAGTACTTACGCTGAACCATGACAAAAATGGATTGGAGTTTGTCCATTGACATAGGTGTGGCATCAAGTGAGCTACTTCACCGTCAGATCTACCTATCGTTTCAACCCCGCATCAGTCCCCTAGTGCTCAAAAGAATAGGGCTCAAGGAGAATAACTACTGTCGCCTCGGCCTCAGTTTTGCGTTCTTTGTTACTTGACTTGAACAAGAGGCTCCCGTTTGTAGCGGGACACGCCTTGGACACGCCCCGAGCCAAAGTGCCTGATGGAGGAGTACATCATGATGATTCGCGCACTCGCGTCACGTTTCGACCTCTTCCCGCTATGAACCGGCGTTCATTGACATAGTCTTTTGGTCATCTTTCCGCCGCTGGCCACGGTCGACTTCGAGATAGCCTCTGGGACAATATCGCTTCAGCTAGATCTCATCCGGTTCAAATCCGACGCGGCACAGGTAGTCCAGTCGCTAATCCATGTCTTCTTCGAAGTCGTCGTATTTTTTGGTCGGACTCTCTGAAACGTCGTCCTCAGCTCAAGGGCCTGCCAAGCAGTCTATTTTTCCACAATGTAAACTGAATATCGGTGACCTTCAACTGGTACGTATATGCAGCCAATTTTGACGAATAATGACTTGCTGACTAAAACATTTCCTGCTTCCTTCCCACCATCACAATTGAAGATGCAGGCGTTTATCATAATCGGAGAGAGGCGCCCTTCGTTGGAAATCCTGAAGGACATTGCGGCTTTCAAGCAGCGCCTGCGGGAAGACTCTGTCGGAAGGGAACTCTTCCCGAAGGAGTTTGGAAAGTGCTGGCAGGATTTGTTCGCCGAGAGCGTTCCCCGCTACAAGTGGTTCACGGTCAAGGATCTCATATCTCTTTCCAAGAGGAAGAGAATGGTGGACGATGATTTCCTGTTTGACGTGTATAGTCCGGTGCCGGGTGCCATCCACATCGCATTGACCACAGACGCCACGGGTTGGAGCGCTAGTCGTATTCTGACTCTGCCAGACTACATGCTGGTCGGCGGAGGGCTCATCGACGACATGATGTGGGAAGGCTTCACCCCCAGACTCGTCAGCAGCATCGCCGAGGATGCCTACGACTTGCAGTCCCCGTCCGACAAGGGACAGACGCTGGACTTGACAGAGTTCCTTTGCTCACTGGCTGGGGAGACCGATATGGCCGTCAGGTTCGCTATAGGGGATTACTTTGCAGAGCACCCCGACGTGGAAGTGTCCGTAAAGCAGATGTCTGTTATAGGCCGGATGACGGGAAAATTCTGCAACTCAGCCTCCTCCGAGGAGTTCAAGCAGGATTTTATCACCGACAGAGAGGGCGCCACAATGGACGTCGTGATGACGAGGTTCGTCAACCGGATGCTCGCCTAGGGCAAAGGCTCGAACCTTTGGTACATTGACCACGATGGAGGGGATTCACATCGACCTGTAGACAAACATTTTTAGCGTTGATGCTGCCACTGCCAGTCGCGACAAACATTACTTTACGGAGTATTGGACCGGGTGACCGGACAGACACTCTTTCCTCCCGCCGTCATAACACCTTGAACTGCGATGCGCGGGACGGGCGCATGTCCATACTGCTTGCATCAGCCTGTTCGTGTATCGGTAAATAATCTCCAACTCCGTACCCCCTTGCAATTTGAGCACAAACCGGAGAGTCTAGATGGATGCAAATCAAAGGACAATGGGGCACAGGTGGCCTACCGGTAACTTTGTGCTCTTTATTCTACGGTTTCCAATTTTTGTCATTAGTCGCATTCATTGGCGTACTTTGACTGATGCTGGAACCGTCGTGATACTCAGATGGCTGATCTAGGCTAATGATAAGATGCAGCGCACTAAATGTGTAAATAGTGGCCGTTTTGCCATCAGGGTTATACCTTGGGGATGTTTTATGGCATGCCATGTTCCTACGTCTCTGATACCCGCGGCGCACAGACGGTCTTCATATCGCATACATGAGGACAACGGGTATCTAAGACTCTCTTCCCATTTTCCGTCCTCAGCACAGGGAAGCGAGTTTAACGTAGTGGCTGAACTTCGCTGATAGCCCAACCCTCCGTATAGCTTTTTCTCGACGGGGACCCAGTAAAAGCCGGTCAATGACATTTTTGAAAGTGACAGGTCTGAATTTTCGCGACTGCGCGATGGCGCCGCCTCTGCTTCCTTCCCTTGCTTGGTAATTCAGTCCTTACATTTGCATGCTCTCAGACTTAGACAGGCCAGTGTGATCTAGTATGATGCTCCGCGATCTGCAAGGGTTTTTTTGCCCCTTGGATCCATCCCATGTTTTGCGTTGCACGTTTTCATGTCCCAAGCGAGAGCATATATGATCCACGTCGCGCCTGTCATTGTGGCCGTCTCTTTACCGCTCGGGCCCACTCTTCGTCGTTCTTCACACCCAAACAATTACTGCAGGGTCAGAGCCGCTGGTTCATTTGCTAGTCGGCGACGACTCAAATCGGGATACCTCAAGCGATAGGTATTCTGACGTCTGCTGGGCACATACTTCACGTGGCCGGACTATCCCACTACGGCCTGTAATACCTTTTTGCTTGTTCGAATGAATACGTAGGACCCCTTTGGTAGTATGTATACCATAAAATAGAGTCGCTGCGAAGAACATTGACATTCTGACCTAAAGTTACATGTACACCCACGCTGCTCCATAATAGTCGTAATGTAATCAACGAACGACATCCATGCCCTGCTCGCTTCACAATGCGTCACTGTAGGCCGGATCCTGAAATTCAAAGGGTGGGATCCTGTCTTTTGCAGGGAGCTTATAGCTAGCGTGACTGCAGTCCCGGACAACATCAATGACGACGACGACGGCGGCGGCGGGTGAGAAAGAGAGCTCTGCGCTGTTGTCGAAATTGTCCTGCAATCAACGAATGCGACGAGATTGAATCCGTCAAAATTACGAGCCGCGCCGTGAACGTCAGCTTAATCCGCTGGTTATTGCCCGCTGAATCTCCTTGTCACCGTAGATGATGAGTCACTGTTCAAGCTTAAGAATGGAGACGTGAGCCCAAACTCACGCGGCAACGGCCAGAGCGACAACAGGACGTGGGCTGGAAATATGGGCGATGGATAAAAGGGCGGATGGGCGGTGCTACCAGCCAAAACTTCTTCTCCAGACCATATCGGGCGTTCTTGAATGACAGGCTTGGCGCGCGGGCTCAGATACATCTGGTGGGCGAGTCAGCTGCGTGAACTGGCACTGAGAGAATATGGTGGACGTACGAGAATGAATATGGCCTCGTCCGCTTTCAACGATTCGTTTGGGTGTGGAGTGCATTCAAGTGCGAGCCTTATCGCGCGCGCATCTAGGCTCGTGTATACCCGCCAAATGGACTCGACTCTGGATAATGCGGCACTTGAGTATAGATATGGTTCATGGCACGAATTGGACGTTGCGAGGAAAAGAGTATCTCGCTGTAGACATATATGTCGTCCTTTGAATGGAAGTTCTGTGAAGGAGGATGGATCAGTAAGATACCGGTTGGAACACTGGAGAATAAAAACTGGCACGCACCTTAGCAAGTGAAACGAGACACCGTCCCACTGAACATCGGATGCTTCCACATTTTGGTAGTCGTCCACAAAAGTCCTTCAATGGTACCCGCTGCACCGTCGCACGTGGTGATATGCTAGTCGTTTCTTTCCTCGCGGTGATGATGATGGCACGAAGGAGAGTCAAAGATCGGCCTAATCTTTTCAGCTCTCTCCCTCTCTCTGAGCTGCGAGAATGGTATGGAAACAAGCGGAATACGAGGCTGGTATCAGGTACGATGTCTTCAAGTATCTCATGCAATCCCTTGGACTCATGACCGTATTACAGATATATTACTTAGATTTCAAAATATAGACCGCTCTTTATCATCGCATCCTGTACTTGCGCGCCCCAGGACGTCTCAAGCCCGTCGGCCAACTTGGAGGGTTTAACAGCCGGAGGCGCAC